GTGCTCTCTCATTCCCAGAAAAGCTCCATCCTCCAGCCGAGTGTGCTCTGCCCTGACTCTGTGTGTGCTCTCTCATTCCCAGAAAAGCTCCATCCGAGTGTCCTTCAGCCCGGCGCTGGCGGAGCAGCAAATCAAGGAGGAGGCAGCGCGGCGGCTCAGCGCAGCAGCTGTGCCAGAGGCTGAGATACCAGTAAGGAATGCTAAGAACAGCACATGCTGCTGGTCTGTCACTTGCAGATATTTGTTTCTCTGGCTGGTATTTTTATCATAAAATTATTTGCATATTAATGAAGCCCAAGCTCATGGTCCRTGCAAGCCCTGCCTATAAAGGACGAGAGCGTGACTGGGCTGGTGCACTGAATGTGTGGCCTGTTCACTGAGCAGTAATTTAATTTCATGCTCACGATTTCCAAAGTATTCCTAGAGGGTTTTATGGCAAATGCCAACTGCAATACTCTGAAGAAGAAAAAAAAAAGCTTCTACACTTCCTGCAGATTTACAGATCTCAGCATCCATGAGCTTTATATGCAACCCTTGGGTCAGTTAATTTATGTGAGCACCTGTGGTTGTTTCTGATTATGAGATATACAGGTAAAATTCCCATGATACACAGACTTTTACTCATCTGCTCCAAGAGGAGACCTCTTCTCCTAAGAGGGGGTAAAATACATCCATTTCAAGTTAATTCATGTTATTGGATATGTCTGTAGTAGCTTCTGTGTCTGCTGGCCCTTGTCCCCTGCTCTGTGTCACCTCCTTGRGCCAGGGCTGTGTCTTTGCTCACTCCTGTCTTGGGCAGATTCCCAGTGCTGTCCCTCAGTCTCCTGTGGGCAAAAAGAAGAAAGATTCAAAGAAAGAGCGAAGGAAATCAAGTGTTTCCATTCCCAGAGGAAAGACTGGAAGCAGGAAAAGCCTGGCTCCTRCAGAAAGCCCCGAAGAGCCAAAACCCGAAGAGTTAAAGCCTGAGTAAGTCAACAGAAGCATCTTGTACTACACAGCCAACATTCTCTTTAGAAGTAGTTTAATAAATCTACTAAAGCTGTAGGTAGACAAGAGAGCAAACTGGAGAGGGAACAGCTTCAGCTGTGTTGCAGAGGCTGTTTCCAAAATTAGTGCTGCTTGTGAGCCACACAGCTGTACCCTCTCATGTGAGGCAAAGAATCCCTTTATGCATCAGAAGGATTGAAGACTTCAAAGAATCTGTCAGGGAGCAGGAGCTGGGGCTGTGCGGGCGGATGGGGCTGAGCCAACACGGGGTTTATGTAAAGGGCAGCTGAAAAGCTCAGCTTGGGCACAGACAGAAACTACTCAGAGAAACCTTTTCTGAACAGATCTACCAGAACCATCTGATGGCCCAAATCCTCCCAGCGAGGAGTAATTTCTGGTTTTAATTTGAGGGCTTACACAGTCCATCACATTCGTCATGGTCATGGTCAGTGCTGGCAGTGAAATGCTGCTGGAAATGGTGCATTTGAACTCTCCCTGTGCTGGGTGTGCACCTCAGGGAGAGTTAATGTGAACAGCATTGCTGGCTGCAAGCTGGGACACTCACAGGCACMATCTGACACTTGAGAGCCCTTGTATATCACATAATTCAACTTCTCCAAGCCACACTTCTGCCCAGTCTGAGCAATCTGGARTATTTGGAAGTAAATACATTCTTTAGGAGCAGACATTTGGCTGTGTTAGATATTCTGATATCTTTTTTATATCTTCTACTAAAATCCCATGTTCATTGCAATCCATTAATTGTAATTTTTAAATACTTTCAGTAGAGGTCATAAAAACAAAAATCCATGTTTTAGAAGTATTGCCAATGTATTTCAAAAAGAGGAATGTGATCCTGTGTGTTTACATGTCACTGAAATGATGTAGAAGTACTGTAGAAATACTTGATGTATTCAACCAAAGGAAATTTTATTGAGATTTTTGCAATMTTTAGTGTTACACCTGTTATCTGGGTTCTTCATTTTTATTCTCTTTTGGCAACAAAAGCCAACCATTTTGTAGGGTGGGTCCATTACTGACAGTCACTTTCACTGTCACGTGCAATTTGAATGTGTGACTAAGAAACAATAACCACAAATAGCTCAGCAGATATTTATTTGATGTYTTTCTTGCTCACTCACTCACTGAGATGATTTTTATTCCTGGATTCTCTAGTTCTGATGCTTATAGGGCAGCCCAGGCTTCCCTGCTGAGGAGTTTCGGAGGGAGTTTTAACAAATACATCATTCCATGCTCTGTTGCAAGTGGCCACGCCATTGGAGAGGAGGGCTCTGGGAATTTGAGCTGCAGGTGGGTGCAAACCCCAGAAATGTGAGGGGGAAATGCTGGGCTCCTTAATTTATTCTTTTGGGGGAGAAATTTGTTTTCTAATCTTCATTACTTCATAGCTCAGTGGTAGAAACTCATGCTCCCAGCCCACCAGTTGGATACGAATCAAACACATGAATATCAAAGCAGCTGAAGGAATAATTGTGTGAAAACTTTGAGGCAGCTGTAGCTCATCCCTGCAGGGCACAGCACAGCRGGTCAGCGAGCACCAAAGCAGTGTCACCCTGGCAGAGGAGCAGATCCCTGGTGATAAATGTTCTCTCTCTTTGATCAATGTTATCTCTCTGCCATCCCAGAGCTCTGCCCTTTGACTCTCTGCATCCCTCTGCTCTCTCTCCAGCACCAAAGCAGTGTCACCCTGGCACAGGAGCAGATCCCTGGTAACAAATGTTCTCTCTCTACAGTCAATGTTATCTCTCTGCCATCCCAGAGCTCTGCCCTTTGACTCCCTGCATCCCTCTGCTCTCTCTCCAGCACCAAAGCAGTGTCACCCTGGCAGAGGAGCAGATCCCTGGTGATAAATGTTCTCTCTCTACAATCAGTATTATCTCTCTGCCATCCCAGAGCTCTGTACTTTGACTCCCTGCATCCCTCTGCTCTCTCTCCAGCCCTCACAACACTCTGTACCTGGAGCTGCACTGCCCTGCTGTAGCCCCGCCTGTTTTGATCACTTCTGACACYGGGAGCAATGAGGCCAATTTTGGGGACGTTGCCATAGGTATGGAATTGGAATTCTGGGCTGGAGTGGTTTCTCTCTCACAAGTTTTCCCGAGACATTTTTTGTATTTTTATAAGTGAGGATAGAAATTAGCCTTTAGTGGGTATTTAGGTGGAAAATAAGGAGCCTCTGGCCAGCTGAGGCACTGAAACAGCAGACACCTGATCCCCAAACGTGGACCTGGAAGCTGCACAAGTGACTGTCCAAATGTGAAAATGTTTTGGTGAGCTCTGAGYAGTGCCTTAGCCATTGACACGGGGTGAGTGTCTGGCCCAGGCAGGAGCAGGAGTGAAGGGGAGGAATGGGAGGGCAGGGATGAGCATCCTCACTTTGGGAWGTGTTTTCAWTCCTTACAGGCCACAGAATGATGAAGAGAATTACAGTAGAAAACATCTCCCCAGGGAAGCTGGAAGTATCCTTGTTTGGAGCACATGAGCTCACCCTTCAGCCTCTGCTTTATCAGATTCTGTCTCTGCAGGAGGAGCTGTTGGACACTAAAGCACCAGCTCATCTTTTCTCTGAGTTATTCATCTCTCAAAAGCTTAATGATGCTTAGTTCACACCAAAGACTTATAAACAATACGTAGAATCTGTTCCCATATTTTTTTCCATAATCTTTATGAACTTTTTTCCTTGAGTTGCACTGTTTCAGGTGGGATTCTCAGTTCTGAATCCCAACGGCCCCTTCCTGTTGGTCAGAGCAGTTGGAATGCTTGAGCCGGGTGAAAGCAAACCCTTCATCATCTCTTTTTCTCCAAATGAGGAAAAATGGGTGAGTAAAAGAYACAACAGCAGTGGGGAAAAGAGAGAAAGAACTCGTAACACACATGAGTTGCTGCCAGGGGCTCTGTAATAATGACAAAATCTTTGTTCCTGTCCTTTTTGGATCGGGTCTGTGCCCTAAACCTGACAATTCTGGGACGGCTCAGCTGGAGGGGTGGGAATCCCTCTGCACATGGACTAATCCAGGCATCCTCTGGGCAGTTTGTGGAAACTCTGGACATCCAGGTGGCAAAAACCAACGTGAGCCTCCGCCTGTCTGGCCACGGGGTGATGCCAAGCACTGTGTGCTCCGTGGGAGAGGTGCTGGACATGGGATATGTCCTGTCCAGGGACACGGTGACTTCCACAATCCAGGTAAGGTAAGACTTCCCCGATCTGAGCTGAACTGCAAAGCACAGCAGGAGTTTTTTAACAGTTGTCAACTGACAGCAGTTGTCTCCTCCCAGATTTTGTCCAAGTCCAATAACCAAAGGCCAGGATTTGATGGTGAGGGCGGGGGTTGGTGTGACACSTTCTGGGCAGCACTAATTGTGCCTTTGGTGGCATCTGGGGACACAGAGCTGCACTAATGCAGCAAAATTAATTCAGCCACTTTGTAAACTATGGGTCCTACAGGCTGGAGAATCAATTTCCTTAATGCAAATGCTGTTGTGTGAATTAATGCCATCAGATAGAGAACACTTCCAACGTGACCCTGCCATTCTCTGTACAACTGGAGTCRCTCTCACCAACATGGGCCAGAGATCGGCAGAAAATTCCATCCTTTCTCACATCCTCTGTGCAGAGAACAGAGATTGTTGGTAAATTTGCTTTTATTCTTTCCTCTTTTTCCTTTTCTAAAGACTCAGACACTGCTGTGTCTGCTTAGATCCTCACAACTGTCAGACCCAGGGCATCACAGCCCTGAAATTAAAGAGCTCATTTTGCTCCCCAGTAGGAGCTGTAGTCATTCTCTTAATATGGGAAGCTGTAAGTTTATGCAGCCTGAGCAAATACCCACAAATATGGCGATATTGGTGTTGAAATCTAAATAAACCCACCCAGTAATTGCATATTAAAGGTTCTGTTTAGATATGTCCATCTCTGTGAAAACACGTCGGAATAGAGGAAAGGTTTAGTGATGCTGCTTCAGTTCCTCTGGAGATGAATGCCTCACACTGATGGATGGATTTATCTGGTGTTTCTAACAGCCTGTTTTGCTGCAAAGCCATGTATCASCTCTTATTTATTTGCTGTTCCAACAAAAATTAAATTAGTTTAAAATTTATGAAGAAGTAAAGCAGAGCTGTCCTCCTTTCTTACCTGTATCCTCATTTTTATTTACCAGGGACACAGAACTACAGTGGCTTCAGTGTGTTCAGCATCTCTCCAACAGAAGGAAAAATTGAGGCTGGGAAGAGCCAGGATCTCGTTGTTACTTTCAGTCCTGAYCATGAAAGTCTCTACTACTCCGACCTTCTCAAGGTTCTGCTCTTCGGCAAGGTGAGACAACCAGGATTATGAAAACAATGTAAATATTGGATGAACTGGTGTAGGGAGGAGAGGGCAGCTTTGGGGCCCTCTGCCTTTTTTCAGGTTCAGATATTCAGTTATGAATTGATAACAATAATGACACGGGGTCCAGCCCTGTCCTGTCCCATGTAGGAGCAGCTCCGAGGGGCTCCTCAGGGAGCATTTAATGGCAGAGCAGAGGGGAG